AATTGTGCTCGAGATCGAAAAACCCTCTACAATTTACCCTTGTGCTATATATGTCTGAATATAAACCATCGTTGGGGTATTGACAACCCTCTTATTTTAAGAATATGTACAGTGCAACTTCTTGCCACACTACCCCACTAATACAGGGTATTATAAGCAGAAAAAATGAATTCATGTTGTGCTCATTTCGTGAGCGAGCGCACAAAAAAGCAAAAGAATATGTTACAACAACAGCAGCAGCAGCAGCAGACACAAATGGCAGAAAGACTTAACACCAGAGTGTCTCTATAGATAGTCCATCTACTACCATCCAACCATCAAGCAGCCCCATCATTCATAGTAGCTCCGGTCTACGATCTCCGGTCAGGTGGGGATCCGGCCCAGCTGGCCCTTTGACTGTGTGCATCTTTCTCTTTTTTTTTTTTAATGTGTGTTTACGTCAGAGGCGCGACATTAGGCCTCAAATGATTTCATCATTTGATGCTGCAGCAGCAGCCACGCATTGCGAGATCTTCAAGAGATCTTGGCAAGATCTTTTGTGGTTGGCTGCAGTAATGACAATGAGATGGATGAGTGGTCAGATGCGTTGATGGGCTCCGAATCGGTTATTAGTTGTTCTAATGACCATGCCATCCCAGCCACTGGTTGCAATCTTAGCTTGTGACCTAATCATGTTCAATAATAATCTTCTAAAGAAATGGACAACCTAATTGGCTTTTGATTATGAAACTCTTGACTAACAATGGTTACGCTGGAAAAGTCTGATAAAAGCAGCATCTTCTGAAGTCTAGAACTTTAGAAAGTTTGCAGCTAAAGAGGTGTGATCTTTGGGGGTTTTGTCTATATGTATCTCTGTACACTTATATTTTATTATTTCCATCCAAATATCAAATCTTTATTTGTATTTCAGATCTGTAAATTTCTCAACCGCATACCCCATATTTCCACACACACATAGTACAGTGCTTGCACACACACACACACATTAAATATACTTTAATAGCATCCAATTATATGCACATATAATCCACTCCACATTAAGCTGTGTGGAACCCAAGAGCCCTTCCTTCCATCATTCTTCTGCTGTGCAAAAGAGAGCGCGAATGAGCGAGCGATCAACACTCTGCTGGCTGTGACAGACAAAGAAACCAACAGAACATTGTCTAAGAACTGAAATAATACCAAGGCAGAAGCAGAACTACATATAAGAATCACCACGAGTAAACCACATGAACGACATGAGCGCGAGCGTTTGCAGACGACATTAAAAATGGGGGAAAATAAATGTAATAATGACATTTGTGGCCGTTAGGAGTTGGGATTCTTAACTGTTTGACATTTTGCGTAACCTTTTTCGTAGACATTTGGCCTTTATTCGGATTAACAGCATATTTTTTCTGTGTGTTTGTTGTTTCTCTCTCTCTCTCTTCGTTCAGAGAGGAACTTGAGCAATCAGCCATTGCCCATTGCTCATGCCATGCCATGCCGTGATGATGAACCTTTTTTTGTTTCGTCTGGCCCACTGAACTGGCCAAGTTAATTGGAAACTGAAACTTTCAATTTCATGGCGAAATGCTAATTTCCCATCCAAAAGAAAAATCAACTTGGTGGAAAAGTAGCTGGGCACGCCAGAGGAAGTTTGAAAAAACAACAACAACAAAAAAACATGGCAAGACAAAGTGAAAAATGTCATTAGAAGAAGCAACAGGAAAGATCGTTGTTCATGTAGAAGTCCCAAGTGGCGATTGGAATACGCTTTCCAGGAGCTATGTACATTCTATTCAATATATGTATGTTTTGAAATATTTAATTTGTACAATTGTATATTTCCATTCGATAAACTATTGAGAAACTCATTTGTCAGTGTCATGGATACATTTATGGTTTATGGGTTCAGGTTATACTGAAAGGACTTTCTATACCCAGTTTATAGAATACTTATAGCTCAGTTGCACTGCTGCACGTTAGCTATTGAAACCGAAATTAAGCCAATAACGCAGAACGAGAGTTTTCGTTGGTATAAAGTTGCGTTATTGCGTTATGAAAAACCAGCTGGAAACAATGGAAAGCAAGCTAATTTTGAAGATTCAATTAGGCTATGGGAAACGACAGCTAAATGGACGAAACGCCAAAGTTTTAATTTTGGAGCAGCTGTTTTTGGTTATCGCTGTTGGTGCTGGAAGTCGAATGATAGACGGGGGCATAACTAATCGAATAAACGCTCCTGTGCGCAAAAATAATGCAACTTTTTGGCATTGGGAAAAAACTGAGATTTTGTTGAATCGCAATAATGAAAACCACGTGTAAACAGAATATTATGGTGTAAAAGTGCCACAAATTCTTGCTACATTTTTTAACTTATCAACAAAATATATTCGATGTTATAAAACGTGACTCAAGATCAAAAAGATACTCAAATCATGTCCCAGCTAAAAGAAAACTAATTGGTTGCCTCTTTTTCGGTTCAATGCACACAGAACTATAAAGCGCGCATACCCCCCCGCCCGGTTAGGGAAGGTGAGAAAAAACAATTAAATTTTGAGTGGCCAGAAGGAGGGAGAGAGCGAAGCCGAGCAACATGGTGGATGGTCTGCCAAGAGAGAGAGATGGCCTGGCCTGGCCTGGTCCCGCTTCGTTGGAGAGAAGAACAACAGCAACGCCACAAACGCGACGCGACGCGACGCATTTATTGACGTAGCCAAAACACATTAGCCACCGCTGCTGTTGCTGCTGCTGCTGCTGCCACTCGGTGGCTCGTACCGTACCCGATGCTGACTGAAACTGATGGCGCAAACAGTGTTGCAAATGACCCAATTATCCACTGACCCACTCAACGCTCGACGGTCTGGTCTGGTCCGGTCCGGTACGGTCCGGGTCCGGACCTCTGGAAGTTCAGACCTCGTTGTGAAAGCCCTGATGATGGTTGCAAATGGGAAATAGGCGTCTTTAACAGCATTTAAAAGAATAGAATACAGAAAAGAACTAGCTGGATGACGAGAGAGATACTATCCTAAAATGGAGACATTAATTAGCCTAATGACGGGCACAAAAATTTTTAAAAATTAATTTGCCAGTTACGGTTATTGCAGCGGTTAATCTTTTTCGCAAAAAGGTGAAAGGTGGGACCCAGGGCCGCAACAACCAATTCATCTATGTATCCGTCCATCCATCCATCCATCCATACTGGTATTCCAGCATACTGGGATCCTCTACTCCCTGACAATGGAGATCTGTCGCTGTGCAATGAGAAAAGTCTGCGTCTGCGTCTTCGTCTTCGTCGTCGACGTCGTCTTCTGTCAACAAGAGCTAATGTGTTGGGAAAGTTCATTTTCAAGTGCATGCTACTCCAAAAAATGGTGTGTAGGCCTACAGTTCTGTTTATTTTTCCATCTGTTGTACGTGCCTCATTAGAAGATGAAGTTTTTTTGGGTTTTTCTTTTCTTTTCTCCGAATTTTTTGAGACTATCAAAACAGCAATCAAGTTCTTTCTTTGTTTGACATTTCTGTTTACACTTTTTATTGAGTTCTTGAGTTCGATCTTAATCAAAATAAATAAGGTTTCAATTTTTTGTTTCTGTATAGGGTGGGGGTGGTGGCGGGGAGCATACAAATGTGTGTTTGGGTTATAAAAGAGGGGGAGGGGGAGAGTATTGTGTGTAAACTACATATATTGTTATTTGTGCAAAAACGATGCTTACATACAAACAAACACTACAATAATACGGATAATACAATACGAGTACAAACTAGTGAAAATAATAATTAAATAAATTAGCTTCGAGTGGTAATTTCTATCTGGGGAATGGTAACACAAGTCTCTGTCTGTCCTGCCTGCCTGTCTGCCGGAACTTGCCAATGGAAAATCTGTGACATTTTCCAACAGCTCTGATGCTGAGCTGTGACGATGCCTCCAAGCCGGAGTCTAGAGTCAGAGTCTACAGTCAGCGTCGAGTAGAGCGGAAAACTTCCAAGTAATTTCAGTGCGCTTGTGCGCCCGCGTTCGTGAGTTTCTTTTAATTAAAAAGAAAGAAAAAAAAAAAATAACAGGCGAAAACTTTTACTCGCCAACAAACAAAGCAGGTAACTAGGGCTGCTCTCGATTTTCAGATTTAGATTTTATGCTTTGGCGATCTTCACAATCGGAATTAATTGTTGCACCAGATCTCCACAGCCACGGAGGGAGATCTCGTCGTCTACAGCACAACAAATTTTATACAATTTAACAAATTATGAGACTTCACTTGAAAATGTATGAGGAAGATGTGAATGAATTGATAGTTAATTGTTTTCAAAGGGGAATGGGAGACCAGAAGTTGATCTGAAGACGAAACAAACATTATTCTAGTTTGCATAGCAGTAACTCTTTAAACTGAGTTTTATAATCAGAAGAAAATTTAAATATAGTTTTACGCATAAAATACCATTCGAAATTTTATAGAATTCTAAATAAAAGAAGGGGGGAAATGCTTAAGAGAGTACTGAAATAACTTTAAATACAAGAAAGACCCCCAATCCCCACTCGACTGGACACTGACTTCGTCGAATAAAAACCCTAATAACCACTTTATATGTAAGTACTTTCCATTCAAATCTAAAGACAACAAGTGTCCTAACATTTGGAAATGCAATAATCAATTTACTAATAAAATAAACTTCTATAACCCTCACAGAGATCCTTCTTTTTGTGTCTAAGGATAACTTAAGGACTTACAAAACTAAGAAAAGTTCACGTTGTAGCGCTTCGGCACGATTACACACTAAAATAAAATTAATATTAAATGGAACCCAAGGAGTCGCTGAAACAAAACAATATTATTATGTAGGAACGTTGGCTTAAGCTCGATTATGTCCAACAGCTAACTGATAAAAGTACCCCCTCCATATAAAAACAACCCGTACAAATCTATACAAAACTCTGGGGCTTAACGTTAATGCACAAATAACAACAATTAAAGTAAATAGTACATATATAGATGGATACATACATATTGTACATAGATGTATTTCTAAGTATGGTTAGATATAGTACTCGTAGATCTGTAGTAGATACAGTGAAATATACTCGCTAGATCTGTAGATATCGTACAGGTATATATATATATATATATAGTCATAGTTTGTAGTTCAATTCGATTTTTACAAAGTTTCTTCTTCTTTTTTCACCACAAAATCTGCATAAGAGTCTCTCTCGCGCACCCAAGTCTCGCTATCTCTATCTCTCTCTCTTCTCTCTCTCACGTTCTTTCCCCTCCACCCGCAACACCAAGCCGCTACCCCGTCAACATTTTGTGGTGGTCTTTGGCAAAAAGAAAAAGAAACACTGTCTTAAAAATATAAAACGCCGCATCGTCGGCAGTCAGCAGTCAGCAGTCGCCAGTCGGCAGGCAGTGAAAGTGAAAGTTTTGAAGCAGCTAAAGTGTTGTATGTTGTATGTATGTACAAGGTTTCCCATCCAGTCTCCCAAGTCCCGATTGCGGCGGCCTGTCTTTCTGTTCCGTTTCGTACGATTTCCATTGGGGTTTGGGGAGTTTGTAAAACTTGTTGGCCTTTTGTTTTTGCTTTCTTTATCGTCGCCCGATGATCGTGATGATCGTGATGATGACCATCTTTCACATATGTGTATGCCTTGAACAGATTTAATGGCTTTTCTTCTTTCGTTTGTCTTTCGTTGGAAGGTGGTTGGTTGGTTGGTTATGCAATTGATGTTTTCGGTTGAAATTGAAAATTTCTTGAATATACATTTTCTCTTCATGCGCCCGCCCGCCCACGCATCGTCAGCCCCAAAACAGCTGCGTTTGAGCGGATCAATCTCTCCATTCTCTCAAAATGAACGACTTTCGAACGCCTGCCATTTAAGGGCACGCCGGTGACGACTCCTCGTTTGCCTTCCCTTCCCTTCCTTCCTGTAGTTATTATATTCCATGGGGGATTGTCGCTTTGGATTTTTGATTAGTTTTTCATTGTCGGCGTCACGAGATGGTGGAAAATGCTGGCTTCAATTTACCGTGCAACGTTCCCAGTATCAGTCGCCTGGTTGTGGGTGTGTCGCGGCGGTTGTCTCGGTCTTGGTTTTGGTTTTGGTTTGGTTTGGCAGCTGCCACTTGGCTGTCATCGTGTCCGCCTCCACCCTGCTGCTGCTGCTGCTGCTGCTGCTGCCACAACAGGCCAAAGCAATTGTTATAAAATTGCTGTGAGGTTGCTCCTCCCTTGTCGTTGCCCATGCTGATGCTATTGTTGTTTTTTTGGTTGCTGTCGCAGCTGCTTTTGCTATTGCTGCTGCTGCTGCTGTTGTTGTTGCAATCCACAAGAAAATCCAAAGATGTGGGCGTCGCATCCGTCAGATTCAAATTGAGATTCAAATGCTCAAAGCTAAAGACGAGGCCAGAGTCGCGACTGTAGCTGCCAGCACTATCCAAGCCACTGTCGCTAGCTCCCGATCCCAATACCGAACCGTGCCGATCTCCGCTTGACGTCGACGACGACGACGCACTGCTGCTGCACGTCTCGATGAGCTTCCTCGATATCTCGCTGATGCTTTCGTCGAGCAGCGTCTCCGCCTGGGCGCAGGCGGACGAGTAGGATGATTCCGATGATGAGGCCCTGCCTTTGAAGCCAATGTTGCCAAACAGATCGTTGGCAATGTTGATCCCACTCAAGATGTCGCCATAGCCCGAGTCATCGCTGAGGCTGCACTGTGAAGGCGTCGCGGTGACGCCCTCATGGGCATGACCCACTTGGTGGCTTCGCTGCGATCCAATGACGCCCACAATCTCCGCCCGACTGCTGTCCACGGTTATGGGGGCAAACTCCTCGACGCTCTCCTCCTGCACAGTGGGCGCACAGTCGCTGGCCGGCGGCAAGCTCTGCGAGCAGATGGAGCTATCGCAGGAGCTATCCGATGAGTGCGTGGACGAGGTGGAGGAGGAGGACTCCCGGCTGCCGCCTCCCGGCTCGCTGGACGAGGCATCGGAGAGCGAGCGACGCAGCGTCTGTGTCTGGTAGTCCCACAGGGATCGCAGCGGATCGCAGTCCCGGCAGAAGCAAACGCCGTGCGTGTGATCGTGCTGCAAGAGTCCGCCACCTCCGCCCAGAGGCAGCAGATGATGATGGTATGGATGGTCCTCTCCCTGGACGGACGCCTTCATTTGCAAGTCCGGTTCCATTTTGAGCAAGACCCCGTTTCCGGGCTTCCGATCCTTCTTGCGGCGCTTGCGCGGCTTGATTATCCGTGGCAAGCAACTCTCCGGCGGCGGTGTGGCATCCTGGCCGCCAGTGGCACTGCCGGCCTGCGTCTGCTTCTCCTGGCTTTGGAGCATGGGCGGAGCAGAGTTCTGGTAGCGTAGGGCACGGCATTTATCCGCCAGCTTGTAGCTTTGGCTGGTTGGGGGCATCGGCTGGTAGCCACTCCACGACGTTGGATGATGGTGCTGGTGCTGCTGCGGCTGTTGCGGATGGTGGTGCTGTGACAGATGCTGCTTGCCGTTCTGCTGGAGCAGCGGCATGCCCTGGGCATGGGCCGCCAGTTGGGACATCGAGTGCAACCCCGTCGGTGGCCATGGCGGCGTCTTTGGAGCCGTCTTCCTTAGCAGACGCTGACGCTGGCCCGGCGACAAGTGGCTGGAGGCGTTCGAGATGAGTGGGATTCCTGCACACTCGTTGATCCGCTGCTGATTAACCACAGGCGGTAGGGACAATCCAATGCCATAGCTGCCTGCCTGAGGGAGTGGAGTCTGCCCCTGCGCCTGAGCAGGTGTCCAGGGAGCGTGTGGTCCATGATGCAGGCGCTGGCGCTGTAGCTGATTGTAACAGGCGGCGGCGGCGGCAGCGGCAGCGGCTGATGTGGGTGGAGGAACCGGCGGCGTTGAGGCCCAGTGCAAGTGCTGATGCTGATGGTATCTAGCAAAGGGTCCAGCATGGATATTCCCGTTGTCTGGCGCGTGATAGACGGCCACATGCGATCTCATAATCCTGCCGCCTTGCTCCTTGCTCCTGATCTCTGTGGGTGGTGGCGTCGTCTGTTGCTTGTCGTCTGGGCTTGGTACGTAGTCGATTGCACATCACTTGGCCGCTTTCAATATACTATGCCCCCAACACTCAATGATGCATTCGCGCGGCCCGTGGGCATTACCAAAAAATCTACAAAAATCTCTGTCTACAACGAAATGAAAAGCGAACTGAAAACTGGGACAAGCCGTTGCTGCTGCTCGCTGGCTGTCAATTACGAAACACTTTGCGCATGCGCGGCTGCCAACCGAAACACGGGTAAGGGTACGGGTACGGGTACGTAACGAGTACGGAGTACGAGACAAATCGGGTGCGACGGTCGCGAACGGGTTTTTGTTTCTGTGGCCAAGAGCAAGAGCAGAGAGCGTCCGCTTCGTAGCCTGGCGTGCGGCAGACTGAAGTCAGCTGAAAATTCAATTCAAGCTTTTGCGCGCCGGCCCCCACACCGGTTAACAGTAAAAGCCGTTATGCCCAGTTGGAGCACGCTCTCGCTCTGGCACTCTCTCTCTCTCTGTTGCTTTGGATTCTCTTGGGTTCCACACTTGCAATCCACAAACACTGCCGGCTTGATCATGCACACTGCAAGCTGCACGCTGCTCTCGGGCCAACGTCCAGAGCGCGGCTTTTTGCATGTCGAGGTCGTGCAGTTCTTTTTTTTCAGCCGCTGCCAATTGTTGTAATTGTTGCATTCAATTAAAAAAAAAGAAACAAACTTATAATTGTTGGCTGTGCATTATGTTTTTTGGCATTAATGAGAAACCATGAGTTTGAACTTTAATTACAGCAGCTGCCAGCCAAAACCGGTTACTTGGCTGATCCTGGTACTCGTAAACACCCATTTAATACACTAGCTGTATTTGTTGTTGCTGTGGCTAGACTTAAAGATTATCCTGTTCAAAATAGCTGATGGAAACATCAATCAATCAATAATCGATATTGAATCAATAATAGACGTGGAAAAAAGAAGAGGTTTTCAGGGCTTGGCTAAACTTTATAAATATGTATGTTAATTTTATATTGGAATGCGTGCCATGTACTCGAAAGAGATAAGGCTAAAAGGTTCAATAAATATGTACATAATATTAGATTCCGGGCAATATCATATCTCCCCACAAAGTCAAAATACCCTTGGTGGCACAGAGAAAACTTTCTCTTTTCGGAAGCCTTTTCTTCCATGTGCTTATGTGCTTTCCTTTTTACCCCAACACGCACACAGATCCGCTCCATGAACAGGAGCGGCATGGCATACTCATACACACATACAAAAACAAAACAAAAACGAAGCGTAGACACTCACATGACAAGTTGTCCAGCATGTAGGTGAGCAGTTTGGACGTGCCATTCGGCTCGTTGTAGATGTTCATAAACTCCTTTTGCAGCGGATTGCCCATCAGGCCGAGTATGACCAGATGGAAGAGCTTGCCAATCTCGTACGGCAGCACGCGCAGAAAGTTGTTGTTCAGCAGCAGTTCCCTAAAAAGGAGCAACAATTGTGAGTGAAAGATGTGGTTTCCATATGAAATGCATTGCATGCATGCTGCGTCGTAACCGTATTACCCACCTCAGCTGTATTAACTCGCCCAGCTCGGCGGGCAGACTTCGCAGCTTATTGCTGGAGAGATCCAGGGTGCGGAGGCTGGTCAGCATGCCCACGTCGGCGGGGAGTCGCAGCAGCTGGTTGTCGTTCAGGTAGAGGGCGGTCAAATGCTCGAACTCCCACAGCGAGGGGCTGATGTTCCGCACGCAGCCTGTAAGAAACGGTAATTATGGGAGCCATGATGTGGATGTGGATGGCAGAGAGACAGAGAAATCCACAGTTATTTCGGGTGCAATCACTCACCAGTTATTTCGAGGCCGCTCCAGTTTGTCTTTTTGCCAGCGGCAATGTCCTCTTGGGAGAGAAAGATCTGCTGCCTTCGATTGGCGCTGTCGTATTTGTCTTTGTTACGAGACATCTTATAATGGTTGCCTGTGAGAGATGGACGAGAAAGAGGGGAAGAGGAGCACAGTTAGAGTAGTGTTCGGTATTAACGGACTGCGGTGCAAGCTCTCTTTGAAGGAAGTTAGGGCTCGCTCAGGTTAGGAGACAAAACCTCGCTTAGCAACACAAATGGAATGTATTTTTGTAAGTACGTATTTTTTGTTGTTTTTTTTTTTGTTTAGGATAGTTGGAAACAAATCATAACCTTTCATAATAACCGCCTGATGATAAGCGTCTCTGCAAAATATTAATAAATTGGTTTGAATTATTATTTTGTATTAGTAAACAAAGATAGACTCGATAGGGGAGAGGGTGTGGGTGGTTGGTTGGGGTCCAAAATCAAAAATAAATGCAAAAAAAAGGATTTTTGCAAGCGCGCGCAAAGTGCAAGCATACACACAGACACAGCATACGCACACCACACACATACATACGTATACTCGTTTATGACCACGAAAATGGAGCGTTACAGTTAGAGAGCAAGCTATTTAATAGCGTGGGTGGGCGAAACCACGGAAAATGGACGAAACGATGCAGCATTGATTAGATTCCGTGTCCGGGGCTGTTCACCTGCATGTGGGTTTCCTGTGGCTGTGGCTCAACTTTTTGCACCTTTCCAGCGACTATTGTCCCGCCTCTTTCCACAAACGCGCCTCTGCCGCTTCCCTTGTACGGTCCGGTCTCGTCGCCGCTTATTACTCAATAATTTTGCAAATGTAACTGTAGCTGTCAGTATTTCTTCATCAAACTGTAGTGCACTAGAAATTTTATATTTTTCGTTTTTCTCGCTTATTTATGGTTCTCTAGTCATGATTCTCAACTCAAATGGAAACTACTATTATATTGCTTTCTCCCCCATCTCATTCCTCTTTCTGCGCGTTTGTCTTCCCTTTGGTTATTGCGCGTTTCGTTTTCACCGTCGTTTCTTGTTTTTGTATACATGGTGGCTTGGAGCCAGCCGCCGAGTGTTGCCGCTGGCTGACAATATTACGCGTCACGAGAACATCCCAAAATTGGAAACTCTGCTCCATTTTGACAGACATTTCAAATGCTCAAACAAAACTTGGGTTTTTAGTCAAAACAAAACAAGCGCTCTGCTCTGCTCTTGTCCCACACAGTCATACACACGCATCCAAGCACGCAAGCAGACACGACACACACACACGCACACTCAGGTACAGGAATGAAATAAAAACACGTAGAGATTTCGTACTATTTGCTTAACTAGACTAGCCACTTTCTGGGTTCGTTTTATTTGGCTTTAACTGCGTGTGTTGGCGCGTTAACAACAGACGTCTTTTTGTTGTATTTATGTTTAAATATAGTATAGTTTGATCAACGCTCTGCTGTGTAAACCGTCGCTCTTCTTTTCGTCTTTGGCCATTTCCTCTTTTCTTATCTTCTTCGGTATTAAAATACCAATCCGAGCTGGTATTTTCTCGAATGTTGGTATTTTAGTGCATTGTTTGGTGGAGTTGCATTTCGATAATTCGAGCGGGAGATGCTATTAGAAAATTTGTTATTTGTTCGCGTTATTATAGTATTATAGTCAAAGCAAAGCCATGTCAGGAACAGGACTGCCGAAATACCTCGTCAAGTACCTTGCCGCGGAGAAGAAATTGCTGATGGACAATACCGAAGAAAGCGAGAGGGAATTAACTTTGACATACTATTCGAGAACCGTAAGTAAAAATTACACTACAATCAAACCGGGATGGCATCCACATACATGTATGTATAATCTGTATAATCCGGGCAACCATTGGCAGGTAGTAACCCCTGAGGATTTGCAACGGAAGTACAGCCGCGATGAGGTGAAGGAGCTGTGTCTGCGTGTCAAAGTATGCGTCGACATGACACATCTCAACTGTTTGTGGGACGCCAAGGAGCGGTTTAATGAGAAGAATCGTCTGGACAATCGTTCGGAGCGTTTCATCAATGCTATGCTGGTGAAGGCGGTGGTCAGGAAAATGGTGACCCCGTATACGGACGAAGATGTGGCCAACGCCAATCTCGTAAACAGAAGCCAGCTGAAAAGGACGAACAACATTCGACTAGATCGTTGGAAGCGTGAGCGTGAGCGCCTAGCCCAGACGGCTATCGATTGCTTACAGTCTCTCCCAGGCGAGGAAAGTCCAACGTCTCCGTCGGAATCAGAAACGGAGACTTCGTTCTTTGCGCGGCCACGTACTCCACAGTTCGATGATCAGGACGATGAAGATTGGATGCAGGCTGGCGTTCAGATGAACTCGGAGAGCATGTCCCTGGTTGTCTCACAGTCACAGTCGCAGCCAGTAGCACCAAGCAGTGAGGATTACATTGCTTTTGGTACACAAGTGGCAGCCGCATCCACACAGGAGGCTGACCTATGAATCCAGTAATTGCGAGTTGTTTTGATGTTATTTATAGTATATATTTGTTGTTGCTCTGTGTGTCTGTGTGTGGGTGGATTGTATAAAAAACTGCATTAAAAAACACATTTCGATTAAAGTCTACAGTCTAGTTAATTAATTGAGTACAAATGTTAAAAAACCCTTAACTAACAATACAATTGTCGATCCTCTCGATTGATTCTGCTATATGTACAATTTTACACGAAACAAAAAGTAACATTTGAAATGCTTAGGAATATTATGAACATTATTTACAAATGAGTCGCTCCTAAAGGAGAAGGATCTGCTGCGGCTGAGGCTGAGGCTGCTGCTGCCTGTGCTATGGGAAATGATCAAACATGAACTGTTCCATGAACAGCGACTCCGAATGCTAGTTGGATGAATTTTCACCCATTTCGCTCACCGAAATGGTCATTGCCTTCTCCTCATCCTCGCCACTCTCTTGGTCCGGGTCCGGGTCCTGCTCCTCTTCATCCAGCTCCTCCTCATCTTCCTCAGATGAATTGAATTCAGATGAGTCCTCATCATCCACATCCTCTTCGTCCTCGCCATAACTAACCATACCCACAACGCCAGCTGGCAGCTGGACAATAGTCGCCCCGCCCGGTGCTGCTGTAACAGTTGAGCCCGCAACCGTTGCCGCCACACTGGAGGCACCACTGCCCATCACCTGACCACCGCCGCCAGGTATCTCGATCGTCACAATGCCACTCATCGTGCTGATGCTCTTGGCGCTGTTCTTCTGCTCCTGCTTGATGCTCAGCTCGATCAGCTCCACACCGGAGCGACTCTTGAAGTGCGTCTTGATGTGCTTGGACAGATGATCGCTGCGCATGAATTTCTTGTTGCATTCGCGACACTGGAAGCGCTTCTCGCCGGTGTGTGTGCGTCGATGGCGCTGCAGTTCGTCGGAGCGGGTGAAACGCTTGCCGCAAAAGACCCACGAACAGACAAACGGCCGTTCGCCCGTATGCCAACGGAGGTGGGCACGCAGATGGGAGGTCTTGCCATAGACCTTCTGGCAGCCGGGTATGTGACATATGTGCTGGCGCTTCTTATCCGAATGCTTCTCGCCATCGGTGCAATTGGGACAGGTACAGGCCACACGCTTGAGTCTGGGCTTGATATCTGCCCCCGCTCCGCTGGCATCCATGCTCACGCTCACACTCGTCTGGGCCGCTGGCGTTGTAATGCTGGGATTTGTGATGCTGACGCTGCTGCTGCTGCTGCTGTTGCTCCTGATGCCGCTCGCTGCTGTGGTTCGCATCACCTGCTGCCCGCCGGTGGGTGCAATCGTTATCTGTGCGCTGGAGGTGTTCACTATGGTGGTGGCCTTTGTGGGGAGACTGCCACTGCCACTCCTGGCAATGGTGGCTATCGAAACCGGTGGCGTTCGAGGCGGTGGCAGGGACGTGGCTACGTTGGATGCCTGGGGCTGTGGATGTGGCTGGGTCTGTGGCAATGCTGTGATTTGTATGGACGCTGGGATAGTCACATTCGAGAGGGGATTCGTATTCGAATGGGAATTCGGATTCCCCCCTTCCGTCTGCGGGGCTGGCAGCGCCTGCGGCACAATGAATTTGATTTGCTGTTGCTGTGGCTGCGGCTGGGACGTTGCCATCGATGTGAGCGTGGATGGCGGAGGATTAGCCGTTGGAGCAGCAGCGACAAATGTATCCGGCGGCTCCTGCTTGATGTTTGTAATCATCTGCGTGGGACTCTGTGGCTCCTGCTTGGGCATCGTAGTGGATGATGATGATGTTGCATTGGTCGACGCCTGACCCTGTGCCTGCGTCTGTGCTGTCGCCTGGGCATGCACCTGTGGCATCTGTGGCAGTTGATGCAGCACCTGCTGGAAATTGGCCGGCAGATTGGCGGGCAACTGATTCGCCTGAATGATCTGCACCTGACCCAATCCAGGGATATTCTGTATGGGCAGGGCCTGGAGTCCGGCGGGTAGCTGCATGGCAGTGGTTGCCTGTGGCGCGGGCGTCGCAGTGGGTTGTGGATTCTGCCTCAGTTGGGCGGGTATCACCGTCAGCTGCTGTCCCTGGGCATTCGTTATGGTGATGGGCTGATTCGCGGGTATCTGGCCACTCGCCGAGGCCTCTTGAATGGCCTGGAGGAGCTGCTGGTGCTGCTGTACCTGTTGCTGTTGCAACTGCTGTTGCACCTGCACCTGCTGCTGCTGCTGTTGCTGCTGGTGGGGATTCTGGATATGTATTATGTTCGCATTCGGCGGCAGCTGGCTGTAAGGCATCGGCGCCAGCTGAACCTGCTGTATCTGCCCGTTGGGCGTCACAATTTGTGCAATTTGCGCAAACTGTGGCATCATCTGGTGCATCTGTGTGGCAGCCGCCGCAGCGGGCATGCCCATCGACTGGGCTTGCATCAGATTGGACAGACCACCGGGCGCTGCCTGCACTGGGACATGGACCGTCTGGTAAATGGTCTGTCCGCCTGCCGTCTGTACGGGTATCTGCACGGCCACCGTCTGCTGTTGCACGGGCTGCGGGAATTGCACCAACTGTGGCCGCAGCTGGAGCTGGCCATTTTCCAGCTTGAGCGTGGAGGTGCCGCCGCCTCCACCGCCGACGCCCAACAGATTCGAGAGGTTACCCAGCAGCCCATTGGCCGCGGCCACCGATGTGGGTATCTGGATATTCGTGCCTGGGATGGTGATGGTGCTCGGCAGCTGTGTGGCCTGCAGGCCTCCATTCCCGTGCCGGCGCCGCCGCCTGCTACGCCTTGGGAACCTCCAGCCTGACCACCAGCCGTCGATACTTGCTGGGACTGCTGCTGCTGCTGCTGGACCTGTACTGCCCCCTGATGCTGCTGCTGCTGGATGAGATTGGTCACCGGTATCTGAATGCTAGTGCCGGGAATGGTAAACAGCTGCGTCTGTTCCTGCCCCAGGCCATTGATGATCTGTGTGGGCGTGGCCTGCTGCAGCTGGATGGCCTGACCACCGGCCTGGCCGGCATGCGACTGTGGAGCACGCAGGATCTGGCCGTTGGGCGTGATGAAGGCCTGCTGCCCGTTGATATTCACGGCCTGTGCTGTCGCCAGCTGTGCATTCAGGTTGGGTATGAAGATCGCCTCCTGTCCATCGATATTCACCGTCTGCATCCCGTGCATCGGCTGGACAATCTGGAACATGTTCTGGGGCATGGCTTGGGGCTGTCCGCCTGAAACGCTGCCGCCCCCGAACTGTGTGGGCATCTGGTGGATATTGATGATCTGTTGCATGGTGGGGGCTGCAGCAGCAGCAGCGTTGGTGTTTCCATTCCCTTGTGGCGCCTTCCCGGAAACGCTGGCAGCGGGCGTGGCTGCTGGCGCACTATTGGCAGCCGTGGCATTCTTATACTGCAGCATACTGGCTACTTGCGACTGCCTTTCCAACTGTTTAATTGAGGTTTTCAACTTGCAAGGGACTTAAAGTAAACATTTCAATTTTTTTCTTTCCAGACGCGCAACTTTTCTTTTGAATTCGAGACTGTAGCAGCAACAATTGTTGATCACACGGACATGTATGTAGTAGCGCGCGATATCTTCAATTACATGCAAGTTTTTAAATCGGCCAATGTTTTAAATTATCAAAACTAAGGCCAAATTAATTGTTTTTTTTGTTAATTTTGTTTTGACAAACACAAACGCAGAAGAAGAAGTAAGCAGTGTGACCGCAAATTTATGGATCAAACATACCGTCTGACCCTCAAAAATATACCTATTCTCAGATTGACATTTTCATAATATACCGTAAATATAATGAGAAAAATCACATTCCTCAATTTTGTTATTCGATTTAATATTACAACCTAGTTAGGTATCTCACCACTTAAAATATAATTTTATCCTATTTATGAATTGATTTTCGCCAGGATTGGTTAATCTAAAGGAGTTTTTTTTCTTGGATAACTTATAAAATGAGGTTTCAATAAAGGTCATGTCTTTTTTTTTACATGGTAAATACACGGTAACTACACATTTCCTATATATCAACAAAATATTTATTATTACCCTTTTGTCTCAGATTGACATGTTTTATAGCTATTCATCATTAAGCTAGATTCCTCTATATATATATCGCGATCCCGATTCAGATTCTTGATACATGTAGGAATACCATAACATAACCATACGCACTATATATACAAAAAGTTCATGTCGTTGCAAACATTTGTTGAGTTTGTTTATTTCCTCGGTATATTTACGGTATATGTATTGAGAAGGTATATTTCCGTACATTTCTGAGGGTCACACTGCTGCAAGTATTGTTGCAATAAAAAGGCGTCAAGTCTCGAATTTTGCTGCCCCCTGCCTGGTCATGGAGGTGGACCAATTGTCCCTGGCCGATGTGGTCTTTGTCATCGAGGGCACCGCCATCAACGGTGCGTACATCAACGAGCTGAAGACGAACTACATTCTGCCCACGCTGGAGCACTTCACCACGGGCTCCATTGACGAGCGGGAGTATCTGATAGCGGAGCGATTTGCCACCCTTTACGGCATTGTCATATACCGCACGGCCTCCAATCTGCTGGAGCCGGTGTGCGCCACCTACGGACCCTTCCTGCAGCCCCAGAAGGTGATGGAGACGATCGAGCGTCTGCCGTTGGTTGGGGGCGGCATGGAGTCGTGTGCCCACATGGCCGAGGGCTTTGCCGCCGCCCATGGCTGCTTTGAGGACATCAGCGAGCGCCGCCAGATGCTCGACCAGACCAATGTCCAGCGTCATTGCATACTCATCTGCAACAGTCCGCCGTATCAGATGCCGGTGACAGAGTCGTGGAAATATCTGGGCAAGTCGTGCGAGCAGCTGGCAGGGCTGTTCAACGAGCGGAAGATCAATTTGTCGATCATTGCACCGCGCAAAATGCCGATACTCTTCAAGTTGTTCATGAAGGCGGACGGCGATCAGCCGATTACCAGCAAGAACTACGCCAAAAACATTCGTCATTTGGTTCTGCTGAAGGGATACAGCCTGAAGGAGCGTGCCGCCAGTCCCAATAGCATGGCTGCTCAAATGGCAGCCCCGAACACAGCTCAGGCTGCGGTCCAACAGCAGCAACAGCAGCAGCAGCAACAACAACAGCAGCAGCAGAATCCAGGCGGACAACAGCAGGCGGGTCCGGGTATGCCAATGGACACCACACCAGCACAACAGCAGCAGCAGCAACAACAGGGAGGTCCGCCCCAGCAGCAGCAGGTGATGAACATGAATCCAATGCAACAGCAGCAACCGGGTCCCAATCCTCAGGCGGGTCTACTGAATCCTCAACAGCAGCAACAACTGTTGGCACAGCAGCAGCAGAATCAATTTGTGCCCCAAAACCAGATGCAGAATCCCAATTTTCAGCAAAATGTGGTGCCTGGACAGAATCGTTGGATATATCCGAATCAACAGGGACAGGCTCGTCCGCCATTCATGCAGCAGGGTGCTGGAGGTGGTGGCGGTAACATGCAACAGCAGTTACAGCAGCAGCAGCAGCAGCAGCAACAACAGCAGCAGCAGCAGAATGCCAATTCTGCGCTTATTTCCAGGATCAATGCCCCGCCAAATCAGACGGTGAACTCTCTGCAGCAACAGCAGCAGCAACAAAGATTGCAGATGCTTAATCAGCAGCAATTTAATCAGCAGCTGCAACAGCAATTGGCACAACAGCAGCAGCAGCAAGGGCAGCAACAGCAAGGGAATCCCAATGCCAGCAACATGATGCCGGCAGTATCCAATGCGGGAAATATGCCCAATCCACAGCAGCAGCAGCAAGTGGCGCAACAGGCCCAACAGAATCCCCAACAGCAGGCACAAGTTCAGGTCCAACAGCAGCAGCAACAACAACAACAACAATCGAATCCCCAACAGCAGCAGGAGCAGGCCTCCTTGAGAGAGAAAATCTGGACAGGTCTATTGGAATGGTCGGAGAAGCCGAAAAATGATCAACAGAAGATACCCCACACGCTTCAGTGCACTGTCTGTACCAACATCAAGGATGGGGAGCCAGAGATCAAGGCGGAGAATTGGCCACCGAAGCTACTGATGCAACTGATGCCCAAACATTTGGTAGGCAACATTGGGGGGCAGTTTCTAAAGGACTCCAAGATGGTTGTCTTTCGGCCGACGCCCGGCGAGGCGCTCGATTCCTTGGCCAAGATGATGACCTCCGGCTATGCCGGCTGCGTGCACTTCTCCTCAATGCCAAATGCCCCCGCCTGCGAGCTCAAGGTTCTCATACTCCTCTATACACCGGATCGGAATGCCTTCTTGGGTTTCATACCCAACAACCAGGCCATGTTTGTGGAGCGACTGCGGAAGGTCATACAACAGAAGCAGCATGGCAACATGCAGCAGCAACAGCAGCAGCAGATGCTCCAGCAGCAGGGGAAATCCCCCATGGAGCTGCAACAGCAGCAGCAGCAGCAACAACAACAACAGCAGATGCAGCAGCAGGACAACTCCCAACAGCAGCAGCAGCACTACAATCAATATCAACTGAATATGCAAATGCAGGGCGGTGGTGGACCCGGTCCAGGTGGCGGTGGCGGACCCGGTCCTGGCGGCGTCGGCATGCCCATGCAACAGAATCAAATGCAAATGAACATGATGCAGCAACGAATGCCCCTGGGTGTTGGCGTGGGTGTGGGTGTGCCCGGCGGCGTGCCTAATCCGAATCTGCAGCAACAATTGCAACAGCAGGTGGCACCCAATGTGGCGGCGATGCAACAGCAGGCGGCGCAGCAGCAGCGCATGGTTCGGCCCATGATGAGCAACAATAATCCCGGATTGCGGCAGCTACTCCAACACCAGACGACGCCTGGCAACCAATTCCGTCCCCAGATGGGCGGTGGCGTCCAGAATCCCAATCAAATGGGCGGCGCCGGCGGTCCCATGGTCGGCAATCGCAATTTCGACGATAGCAACTACGAATTCATGTAGAGAAACTCACTCTACCTTATTTTATTGTGTCGTGTCCAAAAACATTCTCTTGCTCTTTATCTTAAGCATATTGTCACATTCGTAAAATCGTACTTGAGATTTTAATTTATTTTTTTTTATTTTCGATACACACTACGTTTCAGACAGAACAGAACCCTTAATATATGTAGTATGCAGTATCTTTTAATCTAAACCTGGATCTAAATGGACGATGTGGCGTACTCTGAGGGGAATTTAAAGACATGCTTGCCGGTGGCCTGCACGGAGGGCAGAAGGCCGGCATTCGGAATGATGTTCCATGAGAGATATAGCGAGACATTGCGATTATCGCGCAGGCCATTGCCATCGTCCCAGAAGTAATATTTGGTGTTCATTTTCTTAAAGTCCAGCACTGGGTTGTCGCCGCGCAGGATGATCTTGTCCCAGAGCACCACCTGGTTTAGGGTATTCGAGGGCGTCTTGTATTCGGCGGTCATGTAGAGGAACAGCTGCTTCACGTTCCAGTTGAAGACGCTGGTGAGGTTCGTTTCCAGGTCGAAGGTTACAAAGCCGAGATCATGCTTCTCACGGGAGGCGCCGTAGTCGGGAACGTTTTTCACCAGCACCCGGACGGTGTTGATGTTGGCCTCGGTTCTGTAGTCGAGAAAAACGGTGGAGAGGAAGCAGCTGAATGTGAGGCAGGCCAGGACGCTCAGGGAGTACGCCACGGTGGCATTTCCTCTGGTTAAAACCGTATGCATCGTTAATTCGTCCTGAAATTCGGCAAATGACACGTAGTGTTTGTTAGTACTGAGAAAATCAGACGGTAGCACTTTTTTCTAGATTCAACGGACGGTCACACCATAGTGTATATGCTGTCTATCGATAGGTCTAGAGGTGGAAAAATATCAGGAACGGCGTTGTATTCAAATTTCCAAAAACAAATTATAATTTAATTTAAATTAATCATTAAAAGTGTATCAGAGACCTTTCGTTCGGAAGCAAGATATTAAAATATTTACGATTTTGTAGATTTAATCTTTAATCAAATCTTTGATTTTTTATAAAAACTTTAACAAACAGAAATGACTGGTCAAGCTGTCTTAAAATTTGCTGACACGAAGGACACACAAAGGTTGCAGGTCCATTGCGATCATTCCCCCTATCTGCTGCTTCCTCATGCTTCGATCTCATCCCGCCGGAAACTGAACATCTCGAACCAGGAATGCATCCAATGTCGCCGGGTGGAGTCGCTTTAGGTATTCCATTATGTTCATCGTATTGCCAGCAAACAAACCAAACTCTCCTCCAAGAAACACGCCTGCAGTTTTCCTTGTTCCTACATAAACCACACATGCATGTGTGCGCATGTGTAAAAATTATTGAATTACTTATTCTTAAGTTGTTTGTCTCTCGCTCAGTTATTTTACTCTTTGGTAAAACTAACATAGAAATTAAAATAACTCCCCCCCTTTACAGCTTCTCCTTCTTCTCTTTCCACGTTCTTCCTGTCACAGAGACGGGACTGACGCACAGACTAATCGATGTTTCGTCGCAAGCAAACGATGTGTAAAAAAATGGAAAAAATATCGTTGCATCGATAGCAACATCGATGGCAACCTAACATCAAGTGGCAACCTTATATCCGGGAAGGGAATAATATGGCGATCCGAAATAACTCTGATGAGAGACAGAGAATTTAACACTGCTGGAAAATTGATTCATTCGCTATTAATTTGAGACGGTAATACGCGCGAATATCGCTAAAGTGATGGCGAACAAGTGCTTGACGCAATGTGATAGCTTTTAAGCGCTGGGACCGCAGTTAATTAGTGAAAATGAACGGAATAGTAGCACAAAAAAAATTTTCCCTTAGTCTCTATATTCTGCCCTCGTCTGCGCGTCGAAGCGAGATAACAACATCGGTCCGAGTGGCCGCGTCAAGGCATTTCGTGCGCGCAAGCGAGACGAGGATATCGACCAAGCGAAACGCATACGCCAAAGTCGAAAAGTGATTTTTTCCTCCGTTCGTTCGGGCGAAGTCGAAACTGCTCGAAAAGTTTTATAAATAAAATGCTGCAGTTTCCAATGCACAACAAATAAATGATCGAATAAAATGCATCAATCGATTGGCGGATTTGTTTTGCCCCCAAAGCGATTATATAAATAGTGGAGCACGTTGCCTTGCTCGTCTCCGAAGTCCTAATTGCGCATCGATTGCCTCCGCAAATAAAGGAAAACGATGTGCAAAGAAAATACAAGTGATTTCCTTTCTCATGTCGCCGTGCGGGTATCATTCATTTTCTCTTCTCCTATCTCGGCCGATTTCGAATGTTAAAAAATGTGAATCAGAGAATGGGAATTGGAAGAATTAAAATACGATTGAATATACGAATGAGTGTGCAATGGCAAAGAAGTGAAAGAATGCGTAGCGTTGCCATACCGCTACAGACGACCCCCGTGCCGTGTGTGTATGCTCGCGTATGAGTTTTTGTGGCTGTGTGTATGTCGTGTGTGTGTGCCCCTTCCATTGTATATATGTATATATATACATATCCTCCAATTCCTAACAATATAAAAAAAAAATCAATAAAACTGTAAAAATCTCCAAGACCCAAACATGTTTGCGTTTTGTTCTAGTGCTCCAAATGAATCGCATAGGCCAGGATTTTTTTTTCGTTCCGGCTGCCCCGGTCTTTGGGAAACACTGCAACAAAATGTCAAATTTGTTAAAGTACATTTCTTTGGATACAGTCAAATTTTAACAAAAACACAAAATTTCAAGAATAATTTATTTTTCGATAATCCCCAAACCAAAAAAAAAGGACGCACGAATCAAGCATAAGAGAGATAGACCCAACTCCCACGAAAGAGTAAAATGAATAATGATGCGAAAAATCATGATTGCGATGACTTGAATGTGCGCTCATCGGCGTATTTGAATAAAACATCAACCACAAATGCAGCTGCAGCTGCAGCAGCAGCAAAAGCAACAGCAACAGCAGTGACCAGCAACTACAACAACAACAACAGGAGCACTTCAGCTGCGTCTGCATCTTCTGCCACCAGCAAAACTACCCCAACAACAGCAGCAGCAGCAACTTCAACAAGCAACAACAATAACCAGAAGCCGAATAGACAGTTTAACCATAACTTGCCACGCATCTCGACGGCCAGGAACTCCATAGCCGCTGCAATACTCGCCAGCAACAAAAGCGGCGGCAGTGGCAGTGCCAGGAAGATAGCAAAGCATGAGAATCTGTCGGCAGGAGTAAAAACCATACCAGCTACAACCAGCAGCAGCACCACCACCACCTCCAACTCCAAGGCGCCCTCCTCCAGTTTTGTGGCAGAGCTGAGTCTACTAAAGAAGAAGACATCAGCCGCCGCCACAGCCACAACCGGTGGTGCCTCAGTCAGTGCCACAACAGCGGGCAGACTTAAAGTTAACAACAATTCAGCCACTGCCAATACTAACAACAACGGCAAAATAATGTCCGGTACAAGCAGCAGCAGCACTCCCACGCCCTCGCCCGCATCGGCCACTGCCACCTCAACAACCACAACAACAACGAATGCCGGCAGCTGTGCCACAAGCAGCAGCGGTAGTGGTAACGGGAATGCCGCCAGCAGCAGTACGGTCATTGCAAATCCCGTATCTGTAACTGCCGCCGGTAGTGCAGCAAAGTTTCGTGCTGCCGTTGCCTCAGCGCCCGGACCATCGCCCGCTGCCGCAGCAACATCTAATGCCAATGCCAACGCACCCACGTCCAGCTCCAGCAGCAGCAGCAGCAGCTCGAAGAAGACGCGAGCCGCAGTCGCCGCCCTTAAGCGACAGGTGGCCATGCAACAGCAGCAGCAGAACGCAGCCTCGCCCGCCAACAACAATGCCGTCGGATTGCCTGGAAGCAAGGATTCAGCGCATTTAAAATTCGCCGCAACCACTTTGCTGATGGGAGCCGCCGCCGCTGCCGTCGATAGCAACGCTGGCGCTGCTACCGCCGCCGGGGCACTGAGCATGGCCCTCAATCCTGCCGTCGATGTGGCCAATGCGGCTGCGGTGCTGAAGCAAAAGCTAAAGGATGCCGCCGCCGCTGCTTCAGCCTCTGCGTCCGCCTCAAACCGATCTGCCTCGTCGTCCATGTCCTCGAACGCCTCGTCGCTCTCCTCATCGGTGGGAATTGTGAATGCCATTTCGTCGGCGTTGCAGAACATCATAACACCTGATACGGACACCGATACCGAGTTCTATCCCCAGCCCGTCACCACAGATCTGTCCGAGTCCGAAGAGGAGTCTGTCTCAGAGGTGAGTGCCCTTTTGGACCTTGTATACCTTAGATTTTAAGTGCTCCTCTTTGGAAGTTTTCATCGCAGTTGAAAGGTCTGTAGCTAGAGAATTATATCTGTCGGATATCCAAGTTCTTAAAGGTTTCTTATGAATCCTATTCCTAAAAAAAAAAACCTAGATTTTCCACATTTCTAACATCTAAACACTGAATTATTGTAGGCTGTTGGCCAACGAGGAAAGCAAAGCTGTACTCCAACAGAACCAATAAATCGTGACGATTGTAGAACTATTTCATAGATTAATCATTATTAAAGTCGAAGGTCTAAGGTCAGACTAGATTAGCACCCCGCATCCGAAAGAAGAAATGTGAACATGAATGAAACTGCGAACCGATCGCATGTTTCGTGGAGGTATCAATTTTCTTACCTGACGCATCTATATCATACATTATCAGCGTTATCACAGCTGCTTGGAAAAAAAAGCAGTTGCGTTGCGTTTCGCTGAAAAAAAAATTAGTGGCACAAATGTTTTCCAACTAATTTCACTGTTATAATGTACATATTTGTATTCACTGTTTCACTTGTACATATTTGTATTCTCTCTGTGTGTGGTTGTGGTTGTTAGTGTGTGGGTGGGCGCCACTGTGTTTTATCAGGCTTGCAGCAGCACTGCAGCGACGTGGAGAAAAATACCTTCCATTGAATTGATTGCACACACACACACACACACACGCACACAAATTCGCGTAATTATTTCGATATGATATGATCATAAAAAAAACACGTTGAGAATTTCTCATCTGTGCGCGTGTGTGAGTGTGCAAGCAAGCCCTTTCGCTCTCTCGCCTTGGTGTTGGTGAATGATTTATCAGCTGTTTGCTTGCTGGGCTGGGCGAGTGTATGTGTGATTGACTACACACGTACTTCTTTGTCTAGCAGCCTGTTTTTCGTTTCTCGCGAAAAACGCTTTCATGTCTGCCATTCGATAAATCAAAGGTCATTAGCCAGATCAGATCACTACCGCCCACGTTCAATAATCCTCCACTATACTATCCAACATAATTGACCCAACGGTTCGAGACCTTCCCACCCCCTGCCTCTTCCACGAATCAATTGCTCCAAAAAAACATACATACAATGCATTGCCATGTACACGCATACATATGTATATACTTTTTTTTCGGTTGCCTTCGCGAATTCTCTGAGCAGCAGAGCAGCGTGACAAAGATATCCACGGAAGGTCCGGCAACACCGGACGGTTCAGCATAGCCTCTCCTCTGCTGTTTCTTTCTAGCTGCTGTTTTTTGTTGTTGCAACGAAGGTGAAATCGTTGTGTGAAGAGAAAATGCGCAAAAGTGCGAAGAGACAAATACACAAAAATAACAATAATAAATAAAAGTAATAATAATAATAATGATGGTAGAAAACGAATGTCGACAGAGACAGACAGAGAGAGAGAGAGAGTAATGAACTTTTGCGAATTTTCGAGATACTCTGTTGATGGCATTTTGGGGAGACAAGTTATATTCCTCATCTTTTTTTTTCGTTTGGTTGATTATTTTGTGTGGCGTGCAAACATTTTGATGGTTCATTTTCTTTTTCCCACACACAACCACACGTACATACACCAATGCACGGCGCACAACACACACACGCGCCCGTGTAACGAGAACAAACGAACGGTCTGCGGGCTGGTCTGGCTGGGCTGCTGTTGAACTCGTTCATGTTCATGATGTTGAATTTTTTTTGTATGTTCTTTGCTGTTTCGTCTTTCTCTTCGGCGCTGCTGGTTCTGGTGCTGCTGCGCTGCTTGGTTATGTTCTGTTCTTTTTATCTACTCTCCATTCATGAAAGTTTAAGCGCAGCCCAGAACTTGGCCGCGTGTTGAAAATGTACATGCATATTTCGGGAAATTTTGGATTGTGGCATTTCTTTTTTTGGTTCAATAGTTTAAGGCGTGGGCGTAACACACACACTTGCAGACCATACGTGGCTCTACCTCCTTGTTGTGTGTGTGTGTTTGTGTATGCGAGAGTGCGTGCAATATTTAAATCGATGTAAAATCTGACTCATGCCAATCTCTTAAATTCCAAAAAAAAACTTTTTGGATATGTTATTGATAGTTATGTTATTTGATAGTTATCAGTAAGGTCGGGGGGCCAGCTGGGGAAACACATTTTTTGAGTTTAGTGCTAAATGAGAAGAACCTCAAGAATTGGTAAGAAAGGGACAGCAATAAGGGAATGGTTGTTGTTGTTTCTTGCTGGTAGTTTTTCGCATTTGCTGGCTATCGATATTTCGTTTGCATGCACATGCCGTCCTCTGCGCTGCGGTCTGGCAACATCGCTGCGATAGTTTTACCCCTTACAGTTATTCGAGGAATTTGTTGTCACATCTGTTACTATCGGCTAAACGAAATAGTTATAAAAAAAGTTTAGTAAATTTTTGTTCCATTTGCATTTCCATCCGACAACCAAACCCAGTTTGATGGCATGGCTGACATTTTCCTTGATATTGCCGAAGTGATGATGCGGAGTGCAAGATCTACAATGGACATTGTTTTGCAATATTTTATTCACGTAAAAATTCCCGTGCATGATTTCAGCCGAGCCAAGCTTTTCGCCTCGATCAGAGGGCGCTACGCTCCAAGTCTCCGTCTTTCCACACTCCTTGCCTCATACCCTGCTCTGCTTAGACCGTGTTAATTTTTATTATTTATGTACGTTTCTTTCGTTTCTCTTTATTTGTAGATCCTATTGGCATTCTTGTGTTTAAGGCCAGATCTCCTGGTAAGTTTCAGTTTCGCGTTATACAATTGCCACAACCCGCACCCGGTCCCGCTCTTGATCTTGCTCTACAGACAGATCCTAAAACAATAATCCCAAATAATTACCATAGTCTCTAAAGTTTCAAATCAGTTCTCTACTACTAATCCAACGATTGGTCCTTTAAAACATTAATTTCAATCGGTACTTAACACTCCCCCCCTATAACACCTTCACTCATAGATAAATCCAACACCACTTTGTTGCTGGCCTTAGACAACAAGAATGTGCGCTCTACTGATCAAATAAAAAGCTTTATTAATATGTATACAACTTCTAGCGTATTTATATAACCCCCCACTCCCGCAGTTCTAGACTCTTTCCCTCTAATCCTTTTCATTTCCTGTCCGCTTAACGAATTTAATTAACCCAACAATGTTTTCTCGTTTGCTTTTAGGACGATATTCCCGAGTCTGATCCGGATAGTTGCCCCCACGAAGGAGAGGTGCGCGAGGATGAAGATGAGACGGAGGAAGAGTCGGAGGATTCCGAAGAGTCCGATGGTGACGATGAGGAGGATGAGGAAGAGATTGGTAAGTACTGTTTATCTTTAAAAGTTAATGGTTCTCTTTTAGTTATATTTTAATCGTTGACCCTTTTTTTTTTAGATGTCCTTCAGGACAACGATGCAGATGATGAGGAAATCGATGACGAAGATGAGGAGGAGGATGCGCCAGAAGTGAGTCCCTTCCTGCTGGACGCGAACAACAAGCGTTCGAGTAATCTCACAGCCCTGCTGGAGGCTGCGGCCAATGAGAAAGCTCCCGTCCTGCGACACGCCACCCACGCCATCGATGAGACCAAGCAGGCGCTGACCAAGATGCGTTGTGCCAACAGTCCGCGCGACAAGAAGTTAGTAAATTAATAGATCCCAATCTGTTACTGTTTCTGTTAATGCCATGGCCAATGTACTTAATCCGCCACCACTTTTCTTTCCGTATCCGTGGTTGCAGCAGTGGTTTCTCCCGCTCCCTTGTCGCCGCCTGCACGGACAATGACGTGAACACGGTGAAACGATTGCTTTGCAAGGGCAATGTGAATCTTAACGATGCCGCCGCCTCCACCGACGACGGCGAGTCCCTGCTATCAATGGCCTGCTCAGCAGGCTACTATGAATTAGCACAGGTATGTAACAAACAAGGCGAATTTCTTTTAAAAAAAAAAAAGCAAAAATTGGGATTTCGGATTTGCTGCACGTGAAATGAAATTTTCGAATCAGCTGATCGCTGCAGCTGTGTGTGTGTGTGGGTTACCAGCTGCACTCGAAAATGTCCGCCATCGCGTCTCTTTTCGCTGGTGTGGCAACGCTTCACTGGCACGCGTCTCGATTCGATTGTTGGCATCATTGGCCCTATCGATAAGAAGAAGAAGCTAAGCTAGCACGCAACCAAAATTGTGCTGCACATTCACAAAAAAACAAAAAAAAAACCCACCTAATTAAAGATTTAAAGGCTGTGCAAGTTCTTTACACTTAACGAATTGTGCCACAAATTAGCTGAAACGCGAAAATAGATTTGGTTGATCGACAAATTCCAAACATTCCCCCCGTTCAATTGAAACAAACATGTATATAATGCGTATGTGTGTATGTGTCCTGTAGGTACTTCTGGCCATGTCCGCCGCGCAAGTGGAGGACAAAGGCCAAAAGGACTCAACACCTTTAATGGAAGCCGCATCAGCCGGTCATTTGGACATTGTCAACCTGCTGCTCAGTCACAACGCCGATGTGAATGCCCATTGCGCCACCGGCAATACACCATTAATGTTTGCATGCGCAGGCGGTCAGGTGGACGTTGTCAGGGTGCTCTTGAAGCATGGCGCAAATGTGGAGGAGCAGAATGAAAATGGACATACACCTCTCATGGAAGCGGCATCAGCGGGCCACGTGGAAGTAGCAAAGGTGAGTCCATATTCATCAGCCTCTGACGATCGTTTTTCGAGTATTTACATTAAAAATGATTATAATCCGAGATTTGAGAGGAAATGACATTAATCGAGTTACTGATTTGTCGCCTCTGTGATTTATTTTGATCTTATCTGATGCAATGCAAGTTGTCCGACGATGCAGTGCAATAATTTACACGGTTTTGTGCAAGTGCTAATGCGAATATCCCTTAATCCTCCCTGTAGGTGCTACTGGACCATGGAGCCGGCATTAATACCCACTCGAACGAGTTCAAGGAGAGTGCCCTCACCCTGGCCTGCTACAAGGGCCACCTGGATATGGTGCGTTTCCTGCTGCAAGCCGGTGCCGATCAGGAGCATAAAACCGATGAAATGCATACAGCCCTGATGGAGGCATCGATGGACGGCCATGTTGAAGTGGCGCGCCTGCTACTCGACTCCGGGGCCCAGGTGAATATGCCAACCGATTCGTTTGAGTCGCCCCTAACACTGGCCGCCTGTGGCGGTCATGTGGAGTTGGCCACGCTGCTGATTGAGCGTGGGGCTAATATTGAGGAGGTCAACGACGAGGGCTACACACCGCTGATGGAGGCTGCACGGGAGGGGCATGAAGAAATGGTCGCTCTGCTGCTTAGCAAGGGCGCAAATATCAATGCCACCACCGAGGAGACCCAGGAAACGGCCCTAACTTTGGCCTGTTGCGGTGGGTTCAGTGAGGTCGCTGCATTCCTCATCAAAGAGGGCGCCAATCTGGAGCTGGGCGCCTCAACGCCCCTGATGGAGGCCTCACAGGAGGGACACACGGATCTGGTGCGATTCCTGCTGAAGAACAAGGCCAATGTGCATGCCGAGACGCAGACGGGCGACACGGCGCTCACTCATGCCTGCGAGAATGGACACACCGATGCGGCCGGCGTGCTTCTTTCGTATGGCGCCGAGCTGGAGCACGAGTCCGAGGGCGGTCGCACGCCCCTGATGAAGGCCTGCCGCGCGGGACATCTGTGCACCGTGAAGTTCCTCATCCAGAAGGGCGCCAATGTCAACAAACAGACGACCAGCAATGATCACACACCGCTCTCGCTGGCCTGTGCCGGCGGCCATCAGTCGGTGGTGGAACTGTTGCTCAAGAACAATGCCGATCCCTTCCACAAGCTGAAGGACAACAGCACCATGCTGATCGAGGCCTCCAAGGGTGGCCATACGCGTGTCGTGGAGCTGCTCTTCCGCTATCCCAACATCTCGCCCACTGAGCTGGCGGCGGCCTCAAGCGCTGGCCAGGCACAGGCTGCTGCCGCTGCTGCAGCCGCTGCCGCCGCCGCAGCCGCTGCTGCGGGCACCAATCAAATGCGATTGCAGCAGCAGAAGATCCTCCAGCAGCAGTTACAACACCAGCTACAGCAGCTCAATGCACCGCCCGGCCTCCACGAGCTTTCCGAGGCGGCTCGAGCCTCCAACCAGCAGCTTTTCCACCAGCAGCAGTTCAGTGCCGGCGGCAATGGTTCGAACATTGTTGCCCTTGGCACCGGCGACTTCTTAGACGCTGGCGAGCTGCAACTTACGGCAGCAGCAGCAGCTGCCAGTGCCACTGGCAGCGAGGCAGGAGCCGAGGAATACGGTGGTGTCTCTGGTGGAGTCGGTGGCATCGATCTAACCACCCTGGGAGCCCAGCAACAGGAGGGACTCATTGCCAAGTCGCGACTCTTTCATCTACAGCCAGGCTTTGAGCAGCAGCAGCAACAACAACAGCAGCAGCAGCAGCAGCCAGCGGCAGGGCAGAATCAGCAGCTTGTGCCCTGCAAGCATTTCGATTTAGATATGGAGCACATCAATTCGCTGCAGCCGCCACAGAAGGCGCCGCCAGCGCCGCCCGTGCTGTTCCATACGATTTGCCAACAGCCTGTGCTGCATATGCAGCAGCAGCAGCAACAACACGGGGAACAGCAGCACCAGATACAACTCCATGCCCAGTCAAAGCTAAAGGGGGGTGGCACACTGCCCGGCAGGAATCGTCCGCTCAAGAGCGAAGTGTTGGGCATCATCGAGTGTCCGTTGGATCATTTGAACGAGCAGGTGCGCTCCCAGCCATTGGGCGAAGATGGTGGCAAATCCCATCAGCCGCAGTTCTCATGCACTGGCGAGGATCCACGCTTGCAGCGGCGACGAGGCTTCATGCCGGACCTCAAAAAGGGGGAACTGCCGCCAAGTGAAGGCGGCAGTGACACCAACGACCAGCTGGCCATGAAAGGTATGTCACAACAAAATGTGGCAATATTTTAAGGGATTTCTGACAACATTTGAATTTTTCATTTGCAAAGGAGCAGCCGAAAATAATCAGCAGCAGCAGCCCGCACAGACGACGACGACGGTGACAACAGCAATGGAAAACAGTGGTGTGGCATCGTGTTCGCATCCCATATATCCACCGGTAAGGATAACAGGATAACACGATTCAAGTATCAAGGATTAAACATTTCTAACCCAAACCGCTATAGCGACCTGGTGGACCCATTACGCAGATTTCGGATGTTCTCCAGAGCACAGCCATCAGCGATAGGCCAAAGGTCAAGGCCACCAACAAGAACAACCGAAAGCAGGCAGCAGCCGCCGCAGCAGCAGCCGCAGCAGCAGCAGCCGCCGCCGCAGCAGTGGCCGCCCAGCATGCGCTACCCAATCTCCAGCAGAATCAAATGGTGTCCATCTACAACAATTTGGTGAGTTTCATTTAACTGAGGAATTGAATATCTCATCAAATTCTCTCTCTCTCTTTCTCTCCGAAATGCAGCAAATGCAGCAGACGCATCTGCAATTGCAGCAGCATCTGCAGTTGCATCACCAGCGTGTGGCTTTGGACAATGCAGCCGCTGCAGCAGCAGCCGTGGCAAATAATCCAAATCTCTATACCAATTCCCCGGCCTCACCGCTGGCCTCGCCCACAGGAGGTGGCGGCGGCAACTATCCCGAGCAACAGCCAACGCAGCAGCAGCAACAGAATCCAGGCGGAGGAACCTTGGATGTGGCCATGCAGCGAAAGACGGCCATGGAGGACTTTCGTGGTCTGCTGGAGACAGCTGTGAATGGATCGCGGGGCAGGAATGAATTGGCCATGACAGCGCCACCGTTGAACTTCTTCAAGGAGGGCTGGCACATGGTGGGAGTGCACAATTTCTTTGGCGATCAGCCAAAGTCGCCCACCGAAACGCCACCCGAGATGGAGGAGACGACCATGTCGCCGCCGCAACCATCAGCGGGAGCACCACCACAGCAGCAGCATCAGGAGGAGACAACGCGTCCCGAAATGAAGAATCTGGCCACACTCTGTTCGGCAGCAGCAGCAGCCGCTGCTGTGGCAGCAGCCCATAAGGATCAGGATGACATCAGTACGGATCTGGATAGTGATGAGGACGATGCCATGGGCGATGAGAATACAATGCCGCCAGAGCCAATGGATTTAGCTGAAGCATTGCGCGAGGATGGCATTATATTGGTGGAGGCCGAGGAGGAGGATGATGATGAGGATGAGCCCGAGGAGAGCAATAGCGGGGAGATTGAGACAGATGGGGACGGAGATGGGGATGGAGATGTTGATTACATTGATGAGGACGAGGGCCCAGCCGACGATGAGGAGGACGAAGATGAAGACGATGATGAGTTCTTTCTGGATGTGCCCGTTAATGAAAACAATGGAAATATCAATAATAATAACAACAACAACAATAACAACAACCCGAAGAGCGGCGGAGGCAGCATCGGTGGCACTGCTACCGGCTCCGGTTCATTGCCACTGAAGCAACGAAAAATGGCCACGCGATTGGAGAATCTGATTTTAACCAAACCAGAGATCTTCCAGCAGACGCTGTGCGATTTCCGTCAAGATATGACCAACTCGGAGCTGGTCCATGTCCTGCCACAGATAAGCAATCTCAAGGCGGCCGCTGCCAACAATGCGGCATTGAACAGTGTGCTGCACCAGCAACTGGCAGTAGCCACAGCCGCTGCACAGGCCAAGGCAGCAGCAGCCCACCAGCATCAACATCAGCACCAGCATCAGCACCAGCACCAGAAACAGCAGCAGCAGCAACAGCAGCAAATGCACCATCAGCATCAGCATGGAGCAGCAGAAGGCGTCCAGCATTGCGGTAGGGAAAAGTGATGCAACAACTTTAGTTGTAGATTTAATGAGAACTTGAAACTTATTTACAGATGACGAAGGATGCGCTGGAGCCAGTGATCTATACTCGGGATTGGAGCAGTTTGCCAACGATGGGGAAATGGAGGATATATTCCAGGTGATTGTTTTGGGTTTGATTTGTGTGGTGTGCAGCTCTTCTTCAACTGAAAGCCCCCTTGATTTAGTCTATTTTTCAATCGGAACAGGAGCTGGCCAGCAGCTTGAACTACCCAGAGTTGGCCGAATTCAGCCTGAATCAGATGTGCAAGGGCAGATTTGCGGGCCAATGGGCGACACAGTCGTCAGGCAAGTGGACAACGGGACAGGATGGACAGCTAGTGGGTGTGGTACGCACTGGGGACGGTATGCCGCAGGATGCTGCGTCTGCTGCTGCCCAGCGTCAGGGAAATCTTGTTGTATTGGATTATCCCATGCAGCAGAATATACTGGAGGCCGAAGAGCATATGCACATGCAGGTGAGAATTCTTTATAGCTCTAAATATCTGTGAAGAAAGGATATTTATTTGATATATCCTTAGCAGCACCAGCAGACTCCTTTATCCCTTCTACCATTTGCCCCGGACGATCAGCAACAGCAGCAGCAGCAACAACTACATCCAGCCGCCGCCGCCGAGTTCCACCAGCAGCAACAGCTCGCCTTGGAGGGCGATCCCGAACTGAAGCAGCAGCTGCAGCAATACTCGAATGCGCGCATTATCAAGGCAGTGGCTGCCCAGCAGCAACAGCAGCCGGCCACCAATTTTGTCTACAATGTGGAGAGCGGCGACAAGAATGCACCGCCCGTGCAGCTGCTCTTCCAGCTGCCACCCAACATGTCTCAGGGAGTGGGCTGTGACCAAACCGGCGATCATCAGTTGCATGCCGAGCAGCAGGCGCATCTCTTCCAGCAGCACCAACAGCAGCAGCAGCAGCATCGGGCAGCCGGACAGCGTCCACCCACACAGAGTGAACTAGAGCAGGTGGCCCAGGAATTGTTGCTGCAGAGGCAGACAACAGCTCCAAGTGGTGTCCAGCAGCAGCAGCAACAGGCATTGCCACTCAAGCAGAAGCACTTCAATCTGCAAGAACAGGTGCATCTGCATCAGCCATCGAACATGCAGGCGCCCACCTGTGTCCAGCATCAGGTAAGCACTTGCTACAGATCCGAGCGCCATTTCATTTATTTATTAATTTGTGTATGTCTTGAAGGTGGGAACGCAGACGCATCCTGCCTCGGTGATGGTACCCCAAACCGCCGTCGGACAGTATACGCAGTTTGCCCTGCAACCGCCTCAGCAGCAACAGCAGCAGCAGCAGCAACAACAACTGCAGCCCGGACAAGCACAGAATGAGCTATCCATTTGGCCCATGGCCACGCCCACACCGACACCCAGCGCTGCAGGAGGCAAGTCGATGCCGGGAGGCATTGCCAAGAAGGCCATTGACAAGCAATCGCGCAAGGATCGACGATGCTCAACCTTCCGTCAAACGCCAGCAGGCAGTCAAGGTCAGTTTTCCAGCTGATATTTGTCGCTACTATATTAAACACCTATGTCCTCTTTCTATAGTGAACACCAATCAGCATCAACAGCCGGCAGCAGCAGCGGCCGCTGCCGCCCAACAGCAGGCACAGCTGCAGAATCAGTTGGCTGTGGCTGCTGCAGCCACTGCGAGCGTTGATAAAACGATTGAGATTGATTCGGAGACGGAGTCAAACCATGACACAGCCCTCACGCTGGCCTGTGCCGGCGGCCATGAGGAGTTGGTCGAGCTGTTGATCAATCGTGGTGCAAATATCGAGCATCGGGACAAGAAGGGATTTACACCGCTCATCCTGGCCGCCACGGCTGGCCACGAGAAGGTCGTGGACATATTGCTGAAGCATAGCGCCGAGCTGGAGGCACAGTCTGAGCGCACCAAGGACACACCGCTGTCGCTCGCTTGCTCAGGCGGTCGGTACGAGGTCGTCGAACTGCTGCTGAGTGTCGGAGCCAATAAGGAGCATCGCAACGTATCCGATTACACTCCGCTCAGCCTAGCAGCCAGCGGTGGATATGTGAATATCATCAAGCTGCTGCTCAACCATGGGGCAGAGATCAATTCGCGCACCGGCAGCAAGCTGGGCATCTCCCCGCTCATGCTGGCCGCCATGAATGGCCACACGGCGGCGGTTAAGCTGCTGCTGGATCAGGGCTCCGATATCAATGCTCAAATCGAGACCAATCGCAATACGGCCCTAACGCTGGCCTGCTTCCAAGGCCGGCACGAGGTCGTCAGCCTGTTGCTCGACCGCCGGGCCAATGTGGAGCATCGAGCAAAGACCGGTTTGACGCCCCTAATGGAGGCCGCCTCTGGGGGATACATTGAGGTGGGACGCGTGCTGCTCGACAAGGGAGCGGATGTGAATGCAGCGCCCGTGCCCACGTCCAGGGACACGGCACTAACCATTGCCGCCGACAAGGGACATCAGAAGTTTGTGGAGTTGCTGTTGTCGCGTGGAGCCAGTGTTGAGGTAAAGAATAAGAAGGGGAACTCCCCGCTCTGGCTGGCTGCACACGGGGGGCATTTGAGTGTTGTTGAGCTGTTGTACGATCATAATGCGGACATTGATTCGCAGGATAATCGGAGGGTCTCCTGTCTGATGGCCGCCTTCCGCAAGGGCCACACAAAGATCGTCAAGTGGATGGTGCAGTATGTGTCGCAGTTCCCGTCGGACCAGGAGATGATACGCTTCATTGGCACAATCAGTGACAAGGAGCTGATCGACAAGTGCTACGACTGCATGAAGATCCTGCGCAGTGCCAAGGAGGCCCAGGCCGTCAAGGCCAACAAGAATGCCTCGATTCTGCTCGAGGAACTTGATCTGGAGCGCACTCGCGAGGAGAGCCGCAAGGCCGCAGCCGCCCGGCGTCGCGAGCGCAAGAAGAAAAAGAAGATGGAGAAGAAGGAGGAGAAGCGCAGACAGCAGCAGGGCGGCCGCGGTGGTGGTGGTGGTGACCATCAGGGCGATGACGATGATGCCAGTGACAAGGATGATGATTCCGACAGGGATGACGACGATGAAGAGGTTGAACCTGGTGCAAGGGCCGGTGTTGGCTCAGGGGCACGTGAAGAGGGTGATTCTGGCATTGATCAGGGCTCTTGTTCGAGTGGCGACACCAAAACTACTGCCACCAGAACTGCAGCAGCAGCAGCCGCCGCAGCATCTACAGCCGAAGCCAGCAACAGCCAACAGATGAAGAAAAGCAAGAAGCAGCCAAAGAGTAAGAGCACCACAGCGGCATCGTCTTCTCTTGAATTATCAACGCCTGCCACAGGTTCAGCTACAGCATTAACACCCGCAGCACTTCCATCTGCCACACCTGCCACGGCAGCATCAGCAGCAGCAGCAGCAACAGCACCCGCAACCGTGTACAAGAAACACCCGATGATCGAGAGTGTTAGGCTGCTAGCTACACCAGTGCAGGCTCAGTCTACGCCAGTCCAAGCAGCTCCAGTGAAGCGACAGGTAGAGGTTCCTAAGAAGGAAGAGGCGTCACTGAAGAAGAAGGAGCCCAACAGCAACAGCAGCACCGCCGCCAACAAGCGCGAGAAGGAGAACCTCGCACCCAAGGAGTCGACGAGCCAACAACAGCCGGCATCGAAGCAACATCAATCCACAAGCAGCGGTGCTGGTGGTGCTGCTAAGCTGCAGAGTAGCGAATCATCCACCAATATAGCCAGCAGCAACCGGAAAGAGGTTACCACAAAGCCATTGACATCCGCCACAAGCGGAGGAAGTGCCGCCAGCCTGAATCCTGTGAAGCGCAGCGAAGTGGATGGCTGGAAGGAAGTGGTGCGCAAGAGCAGCACACAGCAGGTGGCAGGTGGTGCCCCAGTGACAGTGACGGTCGCCAGTTCGGCCACCAGCCTTCATGGTGGGGGTGCCCATCATCCGCATGTGGCCAACAGCTCGACAAGCGTTGGCTCCCTGACAACCATAACGACATCGATAGCCCCTGAGATGACCTGCAAGAAGGTGCAGGTGCCGGTGAATGCCATTTCCCGTGTGATTGGCCGCGGCGGAAGCAACATCAATGCCATACGCGCCACCACCGGGGCCCACATCGAGGTGGAGAAGCAGGGCAAGAACCAGTCGGAGCGATGCATTACAATCAAGGGACTGACGGATGCGACCAAGCAGGCGCACATGCTCATCCTGGCCCTGATCAAGGATCCCGATGTGGACATCCTGCAAATGTTGCCACGCATTAATAGCAGCATCAAGGCAGCCGCCTCGGCAGGAGCAGCAGCAGCAGGCACAACGGCCCCCATGACAGTCGGCACTTGGGATAATCGTACGGCTGCCGGTGTTTCGGCCAGTACCTTCTCCTCGGCGGCATCCACCACGTCCACATCGTCGAGCTCATCGGCCAGCTCCACCACAGCGACGGGCGCTGCCTACAGCAGTGCACACAAGCAGCAGCAGCAGCCGCCATCAAAGGGACAAAGTGGACGCGTCTCTTCATCCGCCAAAGCGAATGGCAGCGGCAGCAGCAAGGCTTCCACCTCGCTCTCGACCTCCGGCTCTGGCTCACGCGGACAGAACGGCCGTGGCGGATATGCAGGCCAGCAGGCGACCTCGAGCCGTGGTAGCGGAGGTTCCTCCTCCAATGGTGTGCTCTCCAAGAGCAGCAAGGAGGGCTCCTCGGCCAAATCATCTCTGCCAGGAACACAGAAGAACAGCAGCAGCTCTTCCGCTGCCGCTGCTGGCACTGCTACTGCAGGCAAGCCGTCTTCCACTTTGACGGCCCAAAACTTTGCCAAGGCAGCGGCCATTGCCGCTCAATCCTCACCCAAGAAGGTGGACAGTAGTGGGACGACGGCGGGGACGGGATCGGTGATTGCATCCACTGGCGGACGCAGTAGTGGTGTGGTGGCTCCCTTCGGTCGTGGAAAACCCGTGACCGGGGCCACAGGAGCAAACATTTCGCAGCTGGGAAGCGCCGCAGCCAGCAACATATTGGCTGGACCAATTGGCACCTTCAACGTGGCGGATGTGGCGGCCGTGAATGCCGCCGCTGCAGTGGCGGCCGCTGGAACGGTTGGAACCACAGTCAACAACAACAGTAGCAACAGCAGCAACAACAGCAACAACAGCAACCAGCAACAACAATAGCAGCAGCAGCAGCAGTAGCAATGTGAAACCCATTGGCCCGCCAAACAAGAGGATCGGTTCACCCACACAGCAGCAGCAGCAACAACAGCAACAGCAATCGCAGGCAACAGCTTCACAGCCGTCGGCCGTGCCCGGACTGCAGCAGCAACACCCACCGCAGCAGCAGTCGCCACAACAGCAACAGGCGACAACATCCCAACAGAATCTGATGATCAACACCAACATGTTGATGGCCGATTTGATGGCCGCCAATACCGCAAGCGATAGTTTCAGTGCACAGCTGGCTGCCAAGCTTTCGAGTGCCTATTCCCTGTTCAGTGACTATCAGACCTCGCAGTGGGGGAAACTGGATCAAGGGACAGCCGGTGGGGCTGTGGGGGATGGCCTGCCCCAGGCCGATGCCTCCAAGGCGCCTGGATACAACAGGAATATACTGAGCTCTCCCGTTGGCAGCTCCAAGGCTTCGTCGAATCATTCGACCTCGCCACCGGTGGGCAATGTGATCCAGCAGCAACAGCAGCAGCAGCCACAGGCACAGACACAGACACAGCCCGGACAGGGACAGCAGCAACAGCAGCAGCAACAACAGCAGCAGCAGAGTGTGCAGCAGGCACTGAACATAATAACCAGTGGAGCGCCATCCACAGCGCCAGCCAGATCACCGTTGGTGACAGCCGGCGAGGGAAATTCCTCGAGCGTTGGACCCTCGATTAATGGCGAGGTAGCAGCTAGTGCCGCGCACTCACCGGGAGTTATCAAGCCGCCGCCGGGCACTGTTCCCATCCAGAGACATGTCCCCATGCAGATCTCTGCCCCGGAAGCACCGCCTGCAGCGAGTGGTCTCAATTTCGGGGCCATTGGCTCGAATGCTGGCGGAAGCAGTGCAGCAGCAGCAGCTGCGGCTGCGGCCGCTGCAGCTATGATCGATCGCCAGCAGCAGAATCTGCAGAGACTGATCTACGACAAGGTGGGGGCCTCGCAGCAGCAGCAACAGCAGCAGCAGCCGCTCAACTATCCCATGGAACCTTCGGCGTCGCACTACATTGTGGACAGCAACAATATGCTGCGTCTGAATCCTCGCGCCTCTGTGTTTACGCAGGGCAACAAGCAGCAGCAGCAGGCTCCCAGTGTTGGTGGTGGCGGCATGAATCAGCCACCAATCAATCAAGGTGCTGGCCAACAGTCAAATATGTTTGGCAATCAGATCCGTCAGCCACCGGGAGCGGCACGCCTGCCCGGTGGACCGTCGGCCACCGCTGCGCCACAACGCTGGTATGGCGGCGCTCTGGAGTATCCCTCGTATTCGGGACGCGACATGCTGCATCTGGAGAACGGAGGAGCCATGGCTGGACTGGGCTCGCCCTCTGCCATGTCACCAAACCACGATGACATACGCAAGATGCCGCGACCAATCGGCACCGAGCGTGCTGCCTCCTGGAAGTTTAACAACTTCAATGTGGCCGCATCTGCACTGAGCATGGACGATGTACTGCCGCCGTGGGCGCACGAGCCCAAGGCTCAGCCGCCGGGCTTACAACAGCCGCCGCCACCCCAATCACAGCAGCAGCAGCCGCCCAATTGGTTGAAGCAACAGCAGCAGCAGCAGCAACAACAACAACAACAACAGCAGCAGTACAGGCCCTACAACAATGGACCATACCCGCAGCAGCAGCACGAGCAGATGAATGTAAGTTCTTGGATGAAATATGCGATTGCAGGGATCGATCCTCCAATGTAAGTTTTCTACTCTATTTTAGATGCCCATGGACTACCACAACATGCAGGCGCCACCGAATATGGGTCAACAGCAGCAGCAGCACCACCATATCAACTTGATGCAATCCTATGGCTTCCAGCATTTCGCTGGGGCCCCTGGAGCTGCTGATATTGCGCCCCATATGGCAGACAAGATGGAAGTGTGGGATCACCACGATAAACATGTATGTGACAATGCGGCTAATCCTCTCTCTCCTCTCTCTCGGAAGCATTCTGACTTATCGAAAATTTCCAAATTTCCAAAAAACAGATGCCCTGGACTAACTACACTACCAATTGGTCGAACTGATGTCTGGGGGATCTTCAGCAGGAGGATCTCTTCGATATCTGTCGTTCAACCAAGTGAAACGAACAGCTATGAGTGAGAATTAATCCTAAAACATGAAAGGATGAAACAACAGCAGCAACAGTGTAGCAGCCGGAGCAACAGCAGCAGCAGCATCTACCTGATATTTCAAACAAAATGCAAAGCAAAGCAAGATAATATTTATTGAATTTCCAACGTTTTCCACATGCGGAATCCACTGCTTCAAACCTTCATTCAATCAACGGATCAATCATACCACGTCCTTATCCAATCAATCAACCACAAGAACTCCAACGAAGACTCGGGATTTGAAACTTGGCTTTGCTAATTCTTATTTTTTTCGATTTTAAATTATTCTATTTTTTTTTTTTTTTGGTAATTTCCGACCAATAATTAAATTCGCAGGTTATCCATATTTTTGGTTAAACGATCAACAGACAGAGAAAAAAGATAGAAAAAAAAATGTTGCGCATAAATGGAAAAAAAAAACAAACGGAAAATATGATTCGAAAAAAATGGCACCCAAAATGTATAGTACTTTTTGGGCGCAATATACTTTATTTATTTTTAAAATGTACAAGCTATTTTGATAATTTTTGAAAACGAAGCATGAAGTTAGCAAAAACTTGGCAGAACCCCAGCCTATGGCTATATCATTTTGTATGATGAGAATACACACAAATGCAAAAGAACCCAGAAAAGAAATTTGGAAAGCTTCAAAATACCAACAACAACACAAACACACATCCAAAACCTACAAAACCACAATTTAATTTTAAGCTTAACTTAGAAGAAGTCGGTCTTATGAATGGAAAGATTTAAGTGAATTTTTTTAGCGCCAGCTAAAGCACACACACACACCCCACACATATTACACTTATACATAAATACATCTATCTATACATATTTAATAACATTAATAAAAGCAACAAAATGAATGCCGAAATTGTACATTTTAGGAGCGCACTTTTCTATCTCTCTCTATCCCCGAACCCCCCTCCACACATTAAACCACCAATCCATTTATAAGAAGCAAATGATACGTAGCGGATATGGACACGGAAACTAGAGAACGGAAACGAATGATGGAAACCGTCAAGAAATTACTTAACTTTCTACTTACCACATATACATACCATTAACTACACGCTAACTAACAGTTACAGTTATACAGATACTATATTTGAATGAAAAAAATGATGCATAAATGCTGATAAATACAGCGAGTGTACCGGAGTGGAGTGGAGTGTTCTCACCTCGTAGTATTCCAGAAAATCGGATTAGTGGTTAGGTCTTATAACGTTTCTGTTCTGTTCTATGATTTGGTTTTGAGTTTGAGTTCGAGACACCACCACTACCATCCCCAAACAACACACACACACACAACACGTAAAAATGTAGCTAGTAGAAATTGAAGTTGCTTAAATAACTTAAGCAAAAGAACACAAATGAAAATGAAAAGAAAAACATTTAATATTCCATTTACGAAAAAAAATTAAAAAACGAGATGAAACGATGTAACGGCGCTTGCTTGCCATCTTTGATGCTTTTCCAACACTGCTCATAGACGTACATACTATATATACATACACATATATATATATATACTAGCGAATAGCATACGAATTATACAAAACAAAACAAATTTTTATTTCAAAGAAAGCAAAAACAGAAAACGAAAAAAATTATGTAAAAACACTTGATGAAGAACACTTTACTTTCCTCCCTACGCTGGATGATCCTGGATGGTGGCATCATCTTGTAAAATTCTTCTGGAGAAAGGAGATCGCAATGCAAATGCTTAGAAGAGAAGAGGATCGTTATATGAACAATCCCTCCACGCATGGATAAACTCCCAGATATATACACACACACACACATACACAGAAAAAAAATACACACTGAACGGATATATAACTTTAATGATGATAAAAATTGAATGAAAAATAAACAAAGGGATAATATAAGTGAGCATGAAACTACCTTTTTTGTCGTATTTTTTGTTTGTTTGTTTCAAACAATGTTTTAGCTGCAAGCAAAATAATGTAATGAGAATGGAGATCGTTCGTTTAAGTTATTTGATACAACCGAGAATACGAGGAATAAATAGCCGCAAATGCTATACAACACATATATATATACAACATATACCACATATATATGCCCCCAAAAACAGCAGGATTCAACACACAAAATATAAGAGAAAAAAAAATAGCTGAAGGAGCACCTTATGAATATGCATGCAGCCGTTAAAATATCATCAGATGATGATATGATGCATCCTCAATTTGAGAAACAAAAAAAACAATGCGAGAGAATAAAATTAAAGAATAAATGTAGAATTTTTTTCAAGCGAAAGAAATTGAATTCACATAGATTTATTAATTTAAAAAATAATATAAATATACTTCAAATATGAGAGAAAGTATGCAAAACAAAGCAAAAACAAAACAGAAATAAAAGAGAAACACTGAAGGAAACAAAAAACAAAATGAATAAAAACCCTACATATATTAAATACACCCATACTATATGAGTATACTACGGATTATTATTATTACTCTTATAATTATTATTATTGTATTGAAGGAAAAATATAAAAGAGAACATTAAACAGCATGAATAAAAAATAAAAGCATAATCAATGGGTTTTTTATTTAAAAGATTCTCCATTAATTTTAAAAATCTCTCATAATGATTTTTCTAGATTTATCTTTATAAAGAATGGGTCTATTCTATGCTTTCCTGAAAATCACATAGGCACATCGGGAAAACTTTAGATCAGCGGCCGACAGGCTTTTCTTTTTTTAATTTTAAAGCAGCACAAAAAATATACCCCCGAAACTCATTTCATTTATAATTGAAGACAAGCATCAATTTTGGACTATTCTCGGGCAGTCTATTTTTCTGAATTCGCTCGTACATCTCGACTCGAGCATCAATGTGCCAACATCATGTGGCACGCCGTGCTTTGAAATACAAATTCTTTGGACTCGCATTTCGAGTACACTTCTTTCATTATTTTTTGTGATAATTTATTTGTGAACTTTTACAAAATGTTAAACATTTCTTACAGTGGACTGCATTATTTAGGGAAACAAGTATAAGGACATTCAGACAAACGGTTCAATTGTGAATTCGACAACCGAACAGGGTGTCGTTAGCTCGAAAGCCTGCAGCACTGTAGGATGGAGGACTCCAATCTTGCCAATGACCACATTATCGTACATAACATTGGCACAACGACCAGGGAAATAGCTGGCATCTGAAAAGAGGGCAACAAACAAGAAATGTAAATCCTTTTTCTTATAGTTGGAAGTGTTATATGTATTTAGCTCACCCTCTGTAGACTCCAGATAGTAGCCTTTGTCGACATTGGCCGTCTTCCAGGGAACAGAGAGCAGTTGCATGACACGATCCAAGAGACCATGGACCACCTCGAAGCCGGCAGTCTTGTTGCAATTCACAGCACACAATCTACGCTCGTTGCGGGCACCAACCTCTGTTTTCTCATCGACCAAAACAGCGTCGCTTATCTCGAAGAGCTTCAGGGGCAGCGGCATCTTGCGATTGGCCACCAATGTCTTAAGGAGACCAGGCAGCAGGGTGGTTCGCACAACCTGAAACTCCAGTGTCTTGGGATTGCCAATGTGTACCGCTGGGAGGGCTTCAATCGTCTTGTTTAACTTGCGTCCGATGTCGTCCCGAGAGCAGAGCGTGAAAGTCAACGCCTCGGTAAATCCAGCCTGGGCCACCTGTTCGCGCAGTTGTTCGGTGAGCTTGTTGAGTGGAAACTGTTTGGCTATCTGCATGAAGGCTGGCAGGGATTTCTTGATGTTGTTATAGCCAAAGGCAATGGCAATGTCCTCATAGACGTCGCAGGCATGGATAACATCGTGTCGAGTGGGTGGAATCTTGACAACAAGCGAGTCTCCATCGACCCGAGCCTCCAAGTACATTCTGGTCAGCATATCCGCCAGCTTTGAAGCGGGCTCATCAATACCAATGTAGGCATTTGCACGCTTCACCGAAATCCGCTCCTCTCGCACGGCAAGCTCTGGGTAGGAGACAATGCTGCCGTCGAGCTGCACCACATCGCATGGCTCTACCGTGAATTTCTTGGCACAATGCTCGGAAAAGAGGCAGACAATGGTGTCCAGCACCACCTTGGCCTTGGTCAGATCCGTGGCTGTGCATTCGATGAACACATTCTTTGTCTTCAGCGAGATCTTGGAATGATCGCCATTGATGATAGGCGGCAGTGAGAGCACCACGCGATTAGCATCATATATCACCGGATAAACTGGAGAATCGCGAATGATGGGCAGATACTGCTTGAGTTGGGCATGCGTTGCATAAAAGTCCATCAGCTGGACTCCATTCAGCTCCTGAGTTTGGTTGAGTGGCACAAATTTGATTTGTTCCGGCGCCAGGGCTTCATAGCTGAAGGGTCCCTTGATCGTGTCCAGATCGTGAGTGCCGATGGCCACAAGGGTTCGCTTGCGGCATATGTTTTGGTGCAGCTTGTCCTGCAGATCAATGAAGCTGGTGTAGGACTCTTGCGTGAAGGTTACGTTGCGCAGCACAGCGGCCACAGCATGTGGACGAATCTGCGCCGTTGAGGGGTCAATCTTCAGCACCTGGCGCTGGGCAGGAGCCACAAACTCAAACTTTGGTGGTTTGACTCTGAAAATTTATGGTTGTTTTCATATATTTAACGGTTGTAGCATTGCAGTGGCTGCTACTTACTTGCCCTGGAATACCAAAAGGCCCGTGACTAGACCCTCCAGACACAGCAAATCGTAACGATTGGCTGGAATATCTATTCTATAAATGATTTCCTCGCTGGCATCCGCCGCTGCCGCCACATCGCCCTGCTCTTTGGTCAGCATTTGCTTCTCCGTGGTCTAATCGGATGATGCAATTGGTTAGTTAGTTGTCGGCACGGCACGACTGGTGTTCCTACTTACCACTTCATCCAGCTCCAGGCCGAAGGCAAAGCACAGCCCCTGAAATTCATCATCGGCTGCGGAAAGGGGTAAATAATGTTTAGATCGCGAATGGAAAACGTGATTACACGTGGACTGTTCAACTTACTGTACTTCTTGCCGAGCGCCTCGAAAAGCAGATCACGTTTTACTCCAATGGTAGGCATGCTGTCAAGCTAACTTAATGGTCCAACGAGGTATTATAATTCAGATAAAATGAATAAAACCCAAAAATTGCCGAAACGCCGCAATTGGAACGAACCAGTGTGACCGCGGACTTACCGATAAAATATACATCAGAAATATACCAATATATACCACGTCATTATCAGCACGGTAGCTACACAGCAACTACACATTTGCTACATATCAACGACTTATTTGAGGAGTATGGCACTTTGTATACCCAATTGGGAAATTTCCTGTACTCCAACTGGAATACAGCAGCTTAAACTGCTTTGAAACCTGAGTAACAATAAATTTACTCGTATTGGCATGTTTTCGACCTAGACTAGATTCTATATATATCTCGATCCCGTTTGGTATCTGCAAGAATACCAGAAACTGCAAAATAAAATGAGATGCATTT